GAGCGAGCAGAGTGAGGGTGGGAGTTAACAAGCATGGGCCGTGTCTGAAAAGACAGGGCAGGTATGCGCAGGGGCAGTGGGATGTGTTCCCAGTACCAGTAGATGCCAGGGCTGGCCTGAATCTCCCTGAGTCGTACGTGTGCTTAGTCCTGCCTTCCATGCTCACCTGCTTCTCTTGTGTCCAGGGTTCAACTCACCACCAATGTTGTTGTATTGGCCGGCACCAACCGCCCTGACATCCTTGACCCAGCATTGATGCGGCCAGGCCGGTTTGACCGTCAGATTTACCCTTGGTGAGTCTGCCACTTGCTTGGGTGCTTAGTTTTGGGCCTTGTCTCCTGGGGCTAAAGGTTTGATTAGATCACTGCTGTGCGTGTGGAGTGGTTTTACTGGGATCCTGAAGCTGTTAGGGCTTGGAGTGTGAGAGTGATGTATCATTTATGTTCTTCAGTTTATTTGTGCAGTGTTATAAACACTTGACATTTGGAATAAGACTTTACCCCTTGGCTTTCACCCTGACAGTCAGCCATGCGTCTTCTCTGATTTTCCAGTTAGAAATATAATCATGTGGACGTCCCCCTGTTGCTTAGGGCAGCCCTTGTTTTGCTTGCTGTCAGGTTGCATGGCCCTGGGAATGGATTAACATTGGCTGAGGCATTCAGGAAGGGGTTAATATGCTGCAGCACCAAAGGCAGGTGTGGTGCTTTGGGCTGTTTCTGCCATTGCTCACTGGCTCTGGGGCTCCCTTTGGATGACCCCTGCTGCTCTTGCAGTGTGTGAAGTGGCTGTGTGTGAGCAGGTTGGGAAATCCCAGAAAGCACAGAACCCATGTCCTCTCCTGTTAGGACCCCCTGACATCAAGGCAGCTCCATCTTCAAGGTCCACTTGTTCCCTGAAGTTGGAAGAGCCTCAGGAAGGACACCCTGGCAAGGAAGATGGCAGCGCTCACTCCGGGCTTCACTGGTGAGTGCTGTCGCCGGGTGCCTCTGGCCTGGGGGCAGGAACCGTGCATGCTTGCTGTTTTGGGGAGGGTTAGTGGTCCTGCCCTTTCAGGCCTGGCACGTGCTCGCTTTTGTCTGTGAAACTTTGAAGCAGGTTGATTCATTTCAAAGGCCTCATTTGAAATCAAGGCTAATTTGTCCTCATTGAATTTCTGCTTTAATTCTGTTCAGTCTTTACTGCAGACACCAAAATAATGTCTGAGAAAGATCCACTGACATGATCACTCACGGTACCTTTTATTCTTTGGGTTTTTAGTTTATTTTATTTATTTGAACAGCAGAGTTACAGAGAGGCAGAGGCAAGATAGAAAGAGGTATCTTCCATCCACTGTTTCACTCCCCATATGGCTGCAATGGCCAGAGCCTGCGCTGATCCAAAACCAGGAGCCAGGAGCTTCTTCCAGGTCTCCCCGTGGGTGCAGGGCCAAGGACTGGGCCATCTTCTGCTTTCCCAGGACAGCAGAGAGCCAGATGGAAGTGGAGCATCCAGGACTGAACCTGTCCATTTTGGATGACGGCAAGCAGGCAGCCACTTTAATCCTCTATGCCACAGCTCCGCCCCTACTTTTTATTCTGACCTTGAGCTCCCTGCTGGGTGGTTCTTTGCTTTCTCCTGTCTCTTAATTAAAAACCAATCTCCTGTGCTTGGAAATTTTTTTTCCCTCCCTGGGTGATAGAAATCCCAGGACCAGTGGAGATGTCCAAGGGGTCTCCTGCCATGCTCGTTCCCTACAGTGCAGCCATTGCAAGCCTCAGTGCTTGTTACTGTGGTAAGCCACTGACCCACAGCCATCTGCCTCTGCCACCGCTGGGACAGTGGATTATGAAGCCTCGTCCCCTCTAGCTGCCTCGTCTCCCCATTGCCCCACAGTGTCCTGCTCAGTGCTGCATTCAGAGTGCACACTTGTCCGCTGTAGGGTGATGAGGGGTTCTTGCCAGGCTGACAGGTTGAAGGGCCGTATCGGTCCTCATGCTGGGAGTATGCTTCTTAGCTTTAGTTCTCTCCCCTTGCAGACTGCAGGTGTCTACTTAGGTACTGAAGTGAAACCAGAATAAATTACCAGACTTTAGGTTTTTTCTGCCCTTCATAGGGGAGTTCAGTACAGGATGGCTTAGCACTGCTGCTCCTCAGAGATAGCTCAGCACTGCCCCTGCTCCCCCACCGGGATGACTGAGCACTGCTCGCCCCCCAGGGGACTCAGCAGGATAGCCCAGCATTGCCCCTCAGCAGGGATGACTCAGCACTGCCCCTGCTCCCCCACAGGGATAACTCAGCACTGCCCCTGCTCTCTGCAGCAGGGATGACTGAGCACTGCTTCCCCGCAGGGATGACTCAGCAGGATAGCCCAGCATTGCCCCTCAGCAGGGATGACTCAGCACTGCCCCTGCTTCCCCACCGGGATGACTGAGCACTGCTCCCCCACAGGGATGACTCAGCAGAATAGCCCAGCGTTGCCCCTCAGCAGGACTACTCAGCACTGCCCCTGCTCCCCACCGGGATGACTCAGCACTGCCCCTGCTCCCTGCAGCAGGGATGACTGAGCACTGTTCCCCTGCAGGGATGATGACTCAGCAGGGTAGCTCAGCATTGACCCTCAGCAGGGATGACTCAGCACTGCCCCTGCTCCCCCGCAGAGATGACTCAGCAGGATAGCCCAGCATTGCCCCTCAGCAGGGATGACTCAGCACTGCACCTGCTCCCCCACAGGGATGACTCAGCACTGCCCCTGCTCCCTGCAGCAGGGATGACTGAGCACTGCTCCCCTGCAGGGATGACTCAGCACTGCTCCTCAGTAGGGATGGCTGAGGACTGTTCCGCTGCAGGGATGACTCAGCAGGATAGCCCAGCGTTGCCCCTCAGCAGGGATGACTCAGCACTGCTCCCCAGCAAGGATGGCTGAGCACTGCTCCCTTGCGGGGATGACTCAGCACTGCTCCTTGGTAGGGATGACTGAGCAAGGATGATTAAGTACCCCCTTAGCAGGTTGACTGCAGAGATGACTTAGCCCCAGAACTCACTGTGGGTTTTGCTGTGCCAGAGAGAGAGGCAGACAAACCCTCTGTGGATATGGAGGTGCTAAACACAGAGAACTGTGCTCAGCACTGTTGACACATTCTCAAAAGACACAAAAATAATGACCAGTTGTAGAGCTCCAGTAGTTCTGTTGAGACCACCCTCTCTCCCTATGTGCTACAGGCCTCTGAAAGAGACCCAGCCATTTTAAACTTAGTTTTCCCTTGGAAACATGGCAGCTTAAAATTCCCTTTTATGGTCTCTGTTCACTTTTTGTTTTAACTATAAAGTTTCAATAAAAATGAAAAACAAACAAAACGGCTGGGGCTGGCACTGTGGTGTAGTGGTAAAGCCACCGCCTGCACTGCCAGCATCCCATACGGCTCCGGTTCGAGTCCTAGCTGCTCCACTTCCAATCCAGCTCTCTGCTGTGGCCTGGGAAACCAGTAGAAGATGGCCCAAATCCTTGGGCCCCTGCACCCGCATGGGAGACCCAGAAGAAGCTACTGGTTCCTGGCTTCGGACTGACCCAGCTCCGTCTGTTGTGGCCCTTTGGGGAATGAACCAGCAGATGGAAGACCTCTCTCTCTCTCCTCTCTGTAACTCTTTCAAGTAAATAAATATCTTAAAACAAAACAAAAACAAAAAAAACCCTCAGCTAACGATTATGGAGAAAATTGCAGATTATGCAAAGAAGCAGCTAAGCATGGGATGTTCACAGGAAAGAGAAAGGAAGCTACTGTCCCTGGGGAGCAGAGACTTTGGGCAGACTGAGCAGAGGGATAAAGTCAGCTGTCTTAGAGATGCTCAGAGAGCCAGAGGAGACCTTGGGCAAAACCAGAGGAAACCAGAAGTGTTTGTCTCAAGTGTGGAGGCGAGGAAAGACATGGAAGTAAGGGGAACCAGATAGAACATCTGGAGCTGAAAAGTGCTGTAATGAAAACAGAAGCTCGCTGGACGACTTCACAGGTTTGATCAGACAGGAGACGCTGACCGCAAACCTGAAAGTAGCTTGATGGCTTGTTCAGTCTGAGCCGCAGAAAGGAAAAAGGGTGAAGAATGAACAGGGCCTCAGGGATCCGCAGTCGTATGCCACCCAGCATTGTGGGCGTTCCAGAAGACAGGGAATAGGGACAGAAAGTATTTCAAGACACTTTGGGTCATACCATTCTAAATTGGATAGCAGACATGAAATCTGCTTACCTGAGAAGCTCAGTGACAAACTCTGAGAAATCCTCATTGAGACACATGGGCAAACTGTCAGAAGCTGAAGATAGAATCTTTTTGGTTTTTGTTTGTTTGTTTTGTTTTTGACAGGCAGAGTGGACAGTGAGAGAGAGAGACAGAGAGAAAGGTCTTCCTCTTCTGTTGGTTCATTCCCACAATGGCTGCTGCGGCTGGCGTGCCGCGCTGATCCGAAGGCAGGAGCCAGGTGCTTCTCCTGGTCTCCATGGGGTGCAGGACCCAAGCACTTGGGCCATCCTCCACTGCACTCCCTGGCCACAGCAGAGAGCTGGACAGGAAGAGGATCTACTGGGACAGAATCCGGTGCCCCAACCGGGACTAGAACCCGGTGTGCTGGCACCGCAAGGTGGAGGATTAGCCTAGTGAGCTGCGGCGCCAGCCATGAAGATAGAATCTTGAAGCAGTGAGGAGAAGAGATGCTTCATGTGTAATAAGGGAGCCTCAGCAGTATTGACGACTGCTTTCCACCAGAAGCTGCAGACTGCAATCTACAGCTAACACTTGAAAATGCTGAGAGGAAAAGATATTAACTTAGAATTCTCTGCCAGATTTGTCCATCAAGAAAGAAGCAGGAGGGCCAGCACTGCGGTACAGCGGCTTAAGTTGGATCTGCCTGCATCCCATATTGCAGTGTCGGCTTGAGTCCTGCCTGTTCCACTTAGAATCTGGCTCCTGCCAGTGAGCTGGGGAAGACACTGGAAGATGGCCTATGTACTTGGGCCCCTGCCACCCATATTGGAGACCAGGATGGAGTTCCTCACCCTTGGCTTTGGCCCTGCCCAGACCTGGCTGTTGCGATCCTCTGAGGGAATAAACCAGGAAATCAAAGATCTCTCTGTCTCTCTCTGTAATTCTTGCTCTCTGTTACTCTGCCTTTCATATAAATAAGTAAATCCTTAAATAAATAAGTGGCCCTGCATTGTGGGAGTGGTTCCACCACCCCTATGACACTAGAATCTCCTGTTGGACTGCCAGTTTGAGTCCCACTGCTCTGCCTGTGATCCAGCTGATGTGCCTAGGAACACAACAAAAGATTACCCAAGTAATTCAGCCCTGCCACCCAGTGGCGACCAGAATAGAGTTCCTGGCTTCTGGCTTTGGCCTGACCTACTAACCTGGCTGTTGTCATTTGGGGAGTAAAATCAGTGGGTGAAAGATTCCTCTCTGTCTGTCTGTCTCTGTCTCTATCTTGCTCAGCCTTTTCAATAAATAAATGAATCTTTAAAAAAAAAAAAAAGGAATGAAGAGAGGGTATTTGGTGCAATGGTTAAGATGCCGCTTGGGGTCCTTGCAGCCCATGTCAGAGTGCCTGGGTTTGTATTCTGGCTCCACTCCTGATTCAGCCTCCTGCCCTTCCCACCCTAGAAAGCAGCAATGATGGCTCAATACTTTGGTCTCCCGCACCAACATGGGAGACCTGGGTTGGGTTCTGGGCCCTTGGCGCTGTCCTGGGTCAGCCTGGCTGTTGTCAGCATTTAAGGAGTGAGCCAGCAGATGGAAGAGCTCTGTCTCGCTGTTTATAGAATTTGATTTGAGACTCATTCACTGAGTTTTTGTGACGTTCGGGAAGGGTTATATATAGTTACAAGGTGGCAGTTGTACAGGCTCACCAAGTTACTTGTATGTGACTTGTGTTTTCTGTTTAGTTGATTGTGGAAATTTAACATCTTTTCTTAAGAAAATATTTTACTTATTTGTGAGAAAGTAAAAGTAAGTGCTCATCCATTGGTTCATTCCCCAAATGCCTGAAACAGCCAGGGCTTGGCCGTGCTGCAGCCAGGAGCCAAGAACTCCATCCTTGTCTCCCCTGTGGTTAGCAGATGCGTCAGCAAGAAGCTGGATTGGAGGCAGAGCAGCCAGGTCTTGAACTGCCACTCTGATACAGGATGCCTGCTGAATTGGAAGTGGAGTAGCCAGTACTCAAAACTAGCATTCCAATCGTAGCTTAACTTCCTGTGCCACAATGCCTGTCCCAGTCACTTGGTCTTTTTTTTTTTTTTTTAATTTTTTGACAGGCAGAGTTAGACAGTGAGAGAGAGAGTTATAGACAGAGACTGAGAGAAAGGTCTTCCTTCTGTTGGTTCACTCCCCTAATGGCTGCCACGGCCGGTCTTCCTTCCATTGGTTCATTCCCCAAATGGCCACTATGGCCAGCATGCTGCACTGATCTGAAGCCAGGAGCCAGGTGCTTCTCCTGGTCTCCCATGCGGTGCAGGGGCCCAAGCACTCGGGCCATCCTCCACTGCCCTCCCAGGCCACAGCAGAGAGCTGGACTGGAAGAGGAGCAACTGGGACTAGTACCCAGCGCCCCAACCGGGACTAGAACCTGGTGTGCCGGCGCCGCAGGCGGAGGATTAGCCAAGTGAGCCATGGCACCGGCCCCCAGTGAGTTGGTCTTTAACAAATAATGCTGCGACAACTGGATGTCCACATACCAAAGAATGAAGTTGGTTCCTTACCTTACACCATATCCAAAAGTGACCTCAAAATGAATAAAAGAACTAAATTTGAGAAACGAAACTTTGTTAAACTTTTTAGAAGGAAATATGGTAAATTCTTGTACCTTGGATTTGGCAATGGTTTTCTTATTATAAAATGAACAAAATTAGTGTTTATTTGAAAGGCAGAGTTGGAGAGAGGGAGGGAGAGAAAGAGATCTTCCATCCACTGGTTCACTCCCCAAATGGCCACAACAGCTGGGGCTGGACAGGCCTTTGATGGTATTTTCTTAAATATGACACAAAGGCTGGCACCACGGCTCAACTTGGCTAATCCTCTGCCTGCAGCGCCAGTACCCCGGGTTCTGGTCCCGGTTGGGGTGCTGGATTCTGTCCCGATTGCTCCTCTTCCAGTCCAGCTCTCTGCTGTGGCCCGGGAGTGCAGTGGAGGATGGCCCGAGTGCTTGGGCCCTGCACCCACATGAGAGACCAGGAGGAAGCACCTGGCTCCTGGCTTCAGATCAGTGCAGCGCGCTGGCCGTAGCAGCCATTTGGGGAATGAACCAATGGAAGGAAGACCTTTCTCTCTGCCTCTCTCTCTCACTGTCTTACTCTGCCTGTCAAGTAAATAAATATACAAAAACCATAAGCAGGAATGAAAAAATAGATAAATTGGATGTCAACACAGTTAAAATCTTTTGTACCAAAGGACGCCACCAACAAAGTGGAGGAAAAAAATCTACAGAGTGGAAATCTGGTAAGGATCTGGTATCCAGAATATATAATGAGAATTTTTAACTTAACAAAAAGAACTGAGGCCGGCACTATGGCACAGTGGGTTAAAGCGCTGGCCTACAGCACTGGCATCCCATATAGGCACCAGTTCAAGTCCCAGCTGCTCCAGTTCTGATCCATCTCTCTGCTAATGCACCTGGGAAAGCAGTGGAGAATGGCCCAAGTCCTTGGACCCCTGCACCATGGAAGGAGCTGCTGGCTCCTGGCTTCGGATCACTCTCTCTCTCTCTCTCTCTCTCCCTCTCCTCTCTGAGTAACTCTGAATTTCAAATAAATAAATAAATCTTTAAAAAAAAAAAGACAGCAATACTGAGTTGTCAAGGGTGTAGAGAAATGGGAACCTTGCATATTGCCAGTGGGATATAAAATGGTACAACTGCTGTTGAACTCAGTTTGGTACTTCTTTGCAACCCAGCAATTCTACTTCTAGGTGTATACCCAAGAGAATTGAAAATATATTTTCAAATAGACTTGTATATGAATGTTTGTAACAGCATGATTTATTTATAATGGCCGTAAAGTGGAAGAATCCCAAGTATCTACTAGCAGATAAATAGTCAAATAAATTTATTATGCAGAAAGTCACGTGTATTATTCTATTAAACATTTTTTAAAGATTTATTTGAAAAAGTGACAGGGAGAGACGGACATCTTCCCCTGGCTCATTTCCCATATGACTGCAGCTACTGGGGCTTAGGCCAGGCTGAAACCAGGAGCCGCATCTGGGTCTTCCACATGGTAGCAGGAACTCTAGTGCTTGGGCCATCATCTGCCACCTCCCAGATGCCTGAGCAGGAAGCTGGATCCAAAGTGTGGAGTAGCTGACTTGAATTAAGTACTCTGAATAGGGGATACAGGTGTCCCAAACTATAGCTTAATCTGCTGCGCCATAACACCTGCTTCCTCCTCCTCCCCAACAAGTATTATTAATTTACTTTCCTTTTACTTGGAAGGCAGAGAGAGCAGAGAGCTTCCATTTGCTGTTCACTCCCCACGTGCCTGTAATAGGTGGAACCTGGGCAGGAGCCAGCATGTAGGAGCTCAGGACTCAATCTGAGTCTTCCTCTTGGGTAGCAGGGACTCAAGTACTTGAGCTGTTGACTGCTGCTTGCCCGGTTACGTGTTAGCAGGAAGCTGGGATTGGAAGCAGAGCTGGGACTTGAACCCAGGCACTCTGTAAGGATACAGGTGTCCCAGGCAGCAACTTAACCACTGAACAGAACGCCCACCTCTGATTCCATTTATATGAAATGTTCAGAATACTCAGATCCAAGAAGACAGTGGATTACTGACTTTTTTGGGGTGGGAATAGGAATTACATATAAATAGGGCATGAGGATGAAAGGAAGTATCCTAGACTAGATTATTAACAGTTGGATTAGTTGTGAAGTTGCTAAAATCCTTGTTGTGTACACTTAAAATGGAGGATGTTAGGGTGTGTGAATTCTACCTCAATGAAATTGTTAAGCAAAAAAATTTGGCTTGGCCGGCGCCGCAGCTCACTAGGCTAATCCTCCGCCTTGCGGCGCCGGCACACTGGGTTCTAGTCCCGGTCGGGGCGCCAGATTCTGTCCCGATTGCTCCTCTTCCAGCCAGCTCTCTGCTGTGGCCAGGGAGTGCAGTGGAGGATGGCCCAAGTGCTTGGGCCCTGCACCCCATGGAGACCAGGAGAAGCACCTGGCTCCTGCCATAGGATCAGCTGCGGTGCGCCGGCCGCAGTGGCCATTGGAGGGTGAACCAACGGCAAAGGAAGACCTTTCTCTCTGTCTCTCTCTCTCTCTGTCCACTCTGCCTGTCAAAAAAAAAAAAAAAAAAAAAAAAGCTTAAAGTCAGTCACTGATGAAGCAGGTCCTGTTGCCATTCTTTGTTGAAGAGAGTTCCCGTCAACAGAACTGATCTGTGTGCAGATCTTGTGGCAGGGAGCACTGACTTGTGACTGTTTCTCCTTTCCTGGGTCAGGTGCTGATATTTCTAACGTTTGCAATGAAGCAGCTCTGATCGCCGCCCGCCACCTAAGTCCTTGTGTTCAGGGGAAGCACTTTGAGCAGGCCATCGAGAGGATCATTGGAGGTGAGCCCAGTCGCCCTGGGGAAGGACGCACTTTTCCAGCTCTGATCCGCTATGCTCGACCAGTTTCTAAACCAGAATTCTGGACTGGGCCTCTCCCAGCAGCTTTCATTTAGGAATAAAGACAGGCCAAATCTTGGATACTGGCTGTGGAAGGCAGAGATGTTTGCTACAAGAAGAGGACAGGAGTGGAGAAGCCTTGTGTCATTTGCAGGGGTCATCCCAGGGCTCCTGCTGCCTGGGCTTTCTTGGCACCACACGGATTTTTTTTTTATATGTGTAAGATCTATTTATTTATTGAAAGGCATAGTTACAGAGAGGGAGGGAGGGAGGAAGGGAGAGAGCTTCCATCCGCTGGTTCACTCAGGTGGCTGCAGTAGCCGGGGCTGGGCCAGGCCAAAGCCAGGAGCTGCATCTGGGTCTCCCATGTGGATGCAAGAGTGCACGTATTTGGGCCGTCCTTGACTGCTTCCCTGGGCACAGTAGCAGGGATGCTAGACCAGAAGTGGAGAAGCAGGCACTCTAACTGGTACCCACGGGGGATGCCAGGATCGTGGGTGGTAACCTAGCTGGCTGTGCCACAGCACCAGCCCCGACCATGCTGATGATAAAGGAATGGATGTTAGTAGGTTGTCTTCAGCTAGGGACTTAGCTCCCTTGCTGTCCCATCTTCCACTCAGTAGACTGGGCAGAGACCACTGTGCATAGCCTCCAGCAGGTTGGGGTGGCCTGGGAGGTCCAGCAGGGAAGTACAGTCAGCAGTGGGTGGGGGTCTCTATGGCAGCCCTAGCTGCAGGTGCCAGGTGCCGCATTGGCTGTGGTGCCCTTGGTGCTGTTCCCGTTTCCTGGGAGGTGACACTCGGCAGCTGTGCTTCTTGATGCAACCCCACACCGTCAGAGCTGCATCTGGGGCGTGGGTGCCGGAGGAGGGAGGCGGTGAGAGCTTGTCCTTGCTGCTCAACTAGTTGCCTTTTTATTGAAGTATAAAATATGCAGAATATGCAATACTGAATAGCCCAATCTAGATGTGCTCGCTGGAATACTCTGGAGGCCCCTGGGGCTCTCAGCTGGTCATCAGAGAGCCACCGCACAGGAGAGGCCAAACTAGTCGTAAGTCTACTCTGCACATGCCCATTGTCTGTGCTTTTCCTTATTCCTGCAGCTGCTGAAGGTGGGCCTAGGAATCACTCCTTGCCCACCTTGCTTAGATGTCCCAGTCATGCTACAGTAAGTGGCTCCCAGAGCCCACTGATGTAAACTGGCCCTCTGAGGCAGCCATGGGATGGAGCCTGGGGCAGAGAGCAGTGGACAGGAACATCCTCTTCAGAGCTGGCACGGGGGTTTCACTGCAGAAGAGAAAGCAGCATGGAGCTGGGGCTTCAGCCATAGTGCCGTCGGGTGTGGAGAGGACCTTGGGGACGCCATGCAGCAGCGGACACAGGCTTTGAGTCTGTGGAGCGGCACCACTGTTGCTCCTGCCTCTCTCTTACTTGCCTGGGAATGTCATTGATAGGCCTCGAGAAGAAGACCCAGGTCCTGCAGCCCAGTGAAAAGGCAACCGTGGCCTACCATGAGGCCGGGCACGCCGTGGTGGGCTGGTTTCTGGAGCACGCAGACCCCCTGCTAAAGGTCAGTTCCTTGCTCTAGCATGCTGTGTGGGCTTGGAGAGACCTCCAGGCCTGGCTATCACCCTCCTGTGCGGCTGTCCAGGTACCAGCCCCTGGCCATACAGGCTTGGGACCCTGAAGGGCTTGCCCCTTTACTTTTCCAGTACAACAATGGTCTTGAATTTGCTAGAAGATTCCCTAGAGGGTGCGAAGGCAGAGCGGAGTTTCCTGGCTCTAGGTGGGGCCTCACCCGCTGACTTCAGGGAGAAGTCCTGATGTTGCGCTTTGCTCCATGCTTTGGATTTGGCTGTTGTCAGTGGAGCCATGCCTTCAGGTTCCTTCAGAGCCTCTGTGGGGTGTGCGTGACAGAGATGGTTTCTGTGTTGACCTCATGAACTGAAGCTCCCTGAGGTGGGGTCCCACTACTCAAGGTGACCTTACTGGTGGGCCGTGGGCCCAGGGCTCTTCTCCCACTCTTGACGGTCAGAGCTGGGGTGATGTGGGTTGGGGTTGCTGCGGGACAGCTGTATTTGGAGCATGACCTGGGTACCGGCTCTTGTCTTGCAGGTGTCCATCATCCCCCGAGGCAAGGGGCTCGGCTATGCCCAGTACCTGCCACGAGAACAGTACCTGTACACACGGGAGCAGCTGTTTGATCGTATGTGCATGATGCTGGGTGGCAGGGTGGCCGAGCAGCTGTTTTTTGGGAAGATCACCACAGGGGCACAGGATGACCTAAGGAAGGTCACACAGAGCGCCTACGCACAGGTATGGGGCAGACATCGCGGGCATGGCCCCAGGTGGCTGTGTGGGGCACAGCTCAGCCTTGGCTCCTCGTGCACTTGCAGATTGTGCAGTTTGGGATGAGTGAGAAGCTGGGCCAGGTGTCGTTTGACTTCCCCCAACAAGGCGAAACCCTGGTGGAGAAGCCCTACAGCGAGGCAACTGCCCAGCTCATCGACGAGGAGGTTCGGCACCTCATCAGCTCTGCCTACGAGCGGACCCTGGAGCTGCTGACCCGGTGCCGGGACCAGGTGGAAAAGGCAAGTAGGGGCGCGGGTCTCAGGGTGGCTCGCGGGTCACGCCCACGCTCGTGGGCCGTGTTTGGAGTGGTGTGAGCCGACTCGGCACCGCCTGAGACATGGGCCGTTGTTGCAGGTGGGCAAGCGGCTCCTGGAGAAGGAGGTGCTGGACAAGGCCGACATGGTGGAGCTCCTGGGCCCCCGACCCTTCGCGGAGACGGCCACATACGAGGAGCTTGTTGAGGGCACTGGCAGCCTAGAAGAGGGACACGTCCCTTCCTGAGGGGCTGAAGGGCTGGAACCGTGTACAGGGGGAGGGGGTCCCTGAGCAGCACATGCAGGAAAGCCCCCTATAGCTGTGTGCAGACCTGGCTGCGACCTTGGGTGACCGCTGCTGCCTCTGAGCCTCTGCCGAGTGGCTTCCAGAATCACGGGAACACATGAAAACACCTGGCAACCCCAAGTGGGCCTGTGGGTGAAACCCTGAGAAGTACCAGAGAAGGGCTGCCTGCCAGAGAGGTGGCAGGGGGAGTGTCCCGAGTCTCTGGACCGGGACCAGCAGGGAGAGGCAGCAGGGCTGCAGCCCAGGCCTTTGTACCCTCCTGGGAGCCCTGAGCAAAGGATGTAGCCTCAGACACTTCTGGCAGAGATAGGACACGAGTGTCCGAGTGAGCTTGCCTCTGGAGAAGTGTTAATGCAGGTCATCTTAAAGTCACTCAGAAGACGAGCCTCGACCCAGTGCAGAATCCCCAAAGTTAGAATTAAAAGGAGGAGAATCTGAGCTGGTTATGAAGGGAAGGTCAGGCTGTGAGCCAGGTGAGTGGGAGGCCCGTATGTCCTCACGAAGCCACAGGTGTGTGGCTGAGGGAAGGTTGGAGGGATCTTGGGGGTCCCTCTCGCAGCAAGGTCTCCCTCCTGTGGCAGTTCTGCTCTGAGTGTGAGAGGAAGTTGGGGTTGGGGCGCCTTTCTGACTAGCATGAGTCAGTCTGATTGCCGTGGCTTGGTAACCTTCCTTGTGATTCGTTTTGTTGGGGTCACAGAGAGGCAAGTCTGGACTGAGCCCCCACTGCCCCACTCAGCTCTGTGGGACCGTCTGCAGGTGCCCCAGTGCTTCCTCTGGCCATAGCACCTGTAGATCAGCCATCTTCCTCGTGTTGGCTAGCTCCTCAATAAAAGGAAGGCCAGTTCTGGGTTGTGAGCTCCATGCCTTTCAGGTGCCTTGACCTGAGACAGGCTTGACTTTTTCTTTTTGGTGAGTGTGGTGTGGACCCAGTGCCGCAGATGTGGTGAAGACATCCCTGTGTGCTTCTGCGAGCACATGAGCCTGCCTCCTGGATTCGCCGAAAGCACAGTGGTCCCAGGGCATGAACCAGCAACTGTACCAGCCCTGCCCACCTTGGGGTGGGCAGATGATGTCTGGGTCACATGGTGAAGCTCATGACCCTGGGGAAGGGTGGGGTCACTGCCCCTGAATGCCCGTTGGTTCTCTGCATCTCTGTTGGGAGGAGGCCAAGACCAGACACGGGAACTTGATAGTACATTTTCCAAAGTGTTGTGTCTGCCTCTCAAAGACAGTTTAAACTGGAGACAAGCACATTCAGTTTCCATTATTTGTGAAATGCACAGTAGTTTGTTTTAAAATCTCCAGGGTTTAAGCTGTATTGTGGCCTCTACCAAACCTTTATCACCTGAGCCTCTTGGGGGTCTTCTGGTGAAAGTGTGCTCCCTCCACCCCAGAAGGCCCCTGTGGTGGGTGTTGTCATAGGTCTCATGAGGTCACTGCGGCAGCCCACCCATAGGAGAGCCTGGGCTACATCTCACGTGGGGCTAGGCCACAGCAGTGCCTCCCACCGTGCCTCTTGCTCCCCAGGCCTCAGCACACCCCCTCCCGTTGCACCTGGGCTGCTGCCTGCACTTGCATGTCAGACCTGTCTCCTCACCTTATCTGGTGCAGGTAGCTCCGCACTCCCTTGCATGGGGCCTTCCCAAGTTGTTGAAGCATCTCCCTGGGTGGTAGCTATTCACCAGTGAATGGCACGAGCCATCTCCCACTGCCTGTCCCTGCCATTCCAAGTGTGGCTGGCAGCTTGCCCCTCCTTGGCCTGAGAGGGGAATGGCGCTTCCACCCCTACTCTGATGAGTACTGGTGGCCACTGCGCAGTGACCCTGTTCTGGCACGCCAGCCTCACTTAGTGCCTGCTGCACAGCAGGTGATGGCGCCTTCAGGGAGTAGGAGTGAGCTGATCCCTCTTCTGATCTGCTTCCACTGAAGGTGGGTGTTTCTCTCTTGCCGTACTGTGCTGGGAACTATGTACCCTTTGTCGCTCCCCCTCTTCGTGGAGGAGCAACACTAAGCCCTGCCTAGGCTTCATATCCGAGTCACGGCACCATTATGTCGCTCCCCCTCTTCGTGGAGGAACGACACAGGACCCTGCGCTGTTCTTTCGTCTGCTCGGCCCTCCCCGGGTTTGCTGCTGGTTCTTCCCGGGTTGGCTACTGTCCCTTCCACCTCCGTGGAAGGGCGGTTTCCCCCTGCCACATTCCCCACTTCCGCAGGGGAGCGGCACACCGCCGGCCGGCTCTCTCGGGGGCTGCACAGATGTTCCCCTTAGATGTTCCCCTTAGATGTTCCTGGTGCATGCCGTCTCTCTCCTCCTTTATAGTCCTCCTCCGCCAATCCCAACTCGGCTGCCCACACGCCGAGCACGCTGCTCTCCTCCAATCAGGAGCAAGTCCCACAGCTTATTGGCCGAACTGGAGGCAGCTGTGTAGAAACTGTTTTCTCCTCTCCCAGCGCCATATTGTGGGAGAGCAGATGCATAGAATAAGTCTTAATTCCAGTAACAGTCTAGTCCGGGTTGCTCCCCACACCCTTCTCAGAGAATGCACACAGCACAGGCAGGTTGAGTCAGGTTCCCGGTCCGTAGATGGAGGAGACATGGCTAAGAGTTTTCTTTTCAGGAAGGTGCAGGCTGCCCTCGGGGCTGATGAGGGTGCAAGGATGTGAGTGCTGCTCACCTCTCCTCGTGGGTTAAGTGGTCAGGTGTGGCTTCATCTTTGCTTTGTGGCTCCCTCCCTGTTACCACAGCCTGTGGCTTCTGGGCCCTGAAGCTCCCTGGGGAGTGGCTCTGTGGGAAGCTTGTTAGCCAGGGGTAACTGCCTCCAGCCTGGGCTGCCTCTATGGGATTGTGTGGGGGCAGGGCTTTTACTCCTTTTTTCCTCCAAAGATTATTTATTTATTTATTTGAGAGGTAGAATGACAGAGTGAGGGAAAGACAGATCTTTCATCCACAGTTCACTCCCAAAGTGGCCACAACAGATGGGGCCTGGCCAGGCCAAAGCCAGGAGCCGGAAACTCCATCTGTTTCTTCCACACGAAGGCGCAAGAGCAGGGAACTGGACTGAAGTGGCATAGCAGGGACTTGAACCACCACTCCGCTGTGGGGTGCAGGCAGTGCAGAGTGGCCTGATCTGCTGTGCCACAACACCCACCCCATAGCTTTACTCCTCAGTGATGCTTTTGCCTTACTTCTGGATTGGAAATCCAGGGCACTTGTCCCTAAAATGGAATCCAGTTAAGCACAGCCCAGCAGGGTCCCAGTGGCTCCTGAACTTGAGAACTGGCAGAGAGCACGGAGCTCCCTCCTGGCTGGCCCACCTTATACTGCTGCCCTCCCAGCACGGACCTATGTGCCCTGATGTCGGGAAGAAACAGATGAGGCCTTCAGGTGAGGGGGTTGATGCTTTAATCCCACTCTGTAAATGAGCTGTTTGGGAGCAAGAGCAGGAGGGATGGCACAGGAGAGGGAGCCTGCTAGGTAGGGGTAGGCAGGGATGTTTCGCCGTGTGGGTTGGAAACCAGGGGCATTTTTCATCTTAGGAGACTTGATTGTGCCTTCCGGGGACAAGAGTGCAGAGGCAGAGGGGGTGCCTCAGAAGTAGGAGAGTCCCAAAGTGCTCTGCACGCAGCAGGAGCCCCATGCATGCCTAGGGCATCTCTCCCCAGGAGTCCAGTGAAGATGAAGGGGAGGACCCTGTGTCCTAGCCAGAGTATTTTAGTGGGGGAACAGGGCAGGGCAGGTTGGCTTGGGAAGCAAGCTTGAACTTTTAGTTTGAAGCCACTCTGACTTTGCTGTCTGGATCCACTGGCCTGGGTGCCCCTGAAGTTCCCATCGCAGCCCTGCCTCCCCTGTTCCTTCCTGGGCTGCTCCTAGGGTAGAGACCCTCCCAGACGAGGCCTGCCAAATGTGTCTGACGGCCTTGGGTGGGCACAGCCTGGGCAGTGGGGATGTGGAGAACTGACCCAAGTATGCACCCTTGTGTGGGATGCAGGAGAGGGAGGAGTTACTGAGGTTCTGAGGCTGTCTGGCAACTTTCGGTGTTCTGAGCTGGAGAAGAAACGGGCCAACCAAGAGAAGTGAGTGCAGGTCTTAGAAGGGGCCTGGGGAGGAGACCCTGGTGCCAATAGTATCTCCCATGGGCAGAGGAAGGAGGCAGAGTTGAAATTGAGGTGGAAATTTGGGGACTGACCCCTTATGCACATGCCAGACAGCAAAGCGTTCTGGTAGCCACTGCCACCTCGGGGAAGCTCTGAGTGGAGACCCGCCAGGGATTTCTTGGAGCAGCTCCCATAGGCTCAGGTCCCCCTCATCTTGAGCCCACACACGAATCTTCTGATAGGAGCAGTGATCCTACACATGGAAGTTTCTGGAAGGCCTAGGCCACCGTTGTCCACTTGTTGGGTTCCTTGGCAGTGACTCCACAGCATTTCCGTCCCCGTTCCAGGGCTCAGGAACAAGCGTGATGCAAGGCCCTCAGGCTGTGCTTGTGCTGGGGCCCACCGTGTCCCCAGGGGAATGGGCCAAGGCTGTGCCCTGCAGACCCGGCGGGCCTCCTGTGGTGGCACCCTTGGCCCTGACCTGCTGTCAGGTGATGGCTGGAGCCTCATGGGGAGAGCAGTGTGTCCACAACTGTTGGGGTTTACCATTGCAGTGGTGGTCTGGCCCCAGCCTTGTAGCAGCTCTGGGACACCTGGGGAAAGCTTAGTCCTCCTTCGGTCTCTCTATGGTGAGAAACGTGTCCACGATTGCCGTCTGCCGCTCCGGGTCGCCAAGGGGCTGCTTCTCGCGGTTTTGCTCTGCCCTTGCCCTCGTCCAAGAGGGGGAGCGCAGGCAGCCGGCACGGGGTAGCGGGTGCAGACCTGGCAGGGACAGGGGACGCAGAAGTGAACCAAGGCTGTGGTAGATTGTTGCGCGCGGGGGTGGGGGTGGGGGAGTACTGTGGTGTCTCTGGCATGTCACCCTGGCCTCCTGTACAAGCACTTCTGAGGTCTGCTGTGCATGTTGGGGGCCACCCACAGAGATGGTGGCTTCATGGCCCTGGGCAGGGCTTTTCTCATGTCTTCAGGAGTCACCCATCCTGCTGCCTGGCTCCTCCAGTTTGGTGTGACAATGACCCTGGTGTGGCCTCTCCAAAGCCTCGTGGTGGCCCCGTGTGGCCAGCTGCTCCCTCAGGCCCTGCAGGTCTCACCCAGCCTCTGCCCCACCAGGAGTCTAAGCTTCTCCAGGGTGCAGGCTCCCTGGGCTGGAGTTTGGGGTAGATTGGGTTCAAAGTCTCCCAGCTCCACTCCCAGCCACAGCAGCCACAGGCTGGCCCTAGCCCGGCACACATCTCCTATGCAGGCTCTTGTACCTGTCTGCACAAGCAGAGCCTGGTGGGAACCAGCTTGGGTCTAGGCAGTGGCTTGGACTGGAGGTAAGCTGCGGGGCTAACTCATCCCCCTAACCAGGGCCACTGTCATTGCTGGGAGCCCACAGCACCCCAGGGACTGACAGGCTGTCCCCATCCCCACCCTCTGACCTCCAGGGACCCTGTGAGAAACCCCTCCATGATGGGGATTCACAGTGGGGGCTGCTGCCTTTAATGGGGCCTCAGCTGACAGGAAGGGGGATGGGGTGGTGCAGGTTCTATCCTGGGCTTTGGGGTGGGCAAAGCAGAGGCCAGGCTGACTTCTGAAGGTTGTGGCGGGGTGGGTAGGGGCAGTGTTCAGCTCCGCTGCTGAGGTGGACGGATGCTCTCTTGGGTCCTTCTATTCTGAAGGGGTGTGTGTGTGTGTGTGTGTGTGTGTGTTTCCAGCTCCTCTGCTGAGGTGGGCAGATGTCTTGTTGATGCCCTTTGCTGCCCATGGTCAGAGAGACTAAAGGACACACCACTGTGTCCCCACTTGTGCTGTGAGGCTGGACACCTTGCTGCCTTGGTGTCTTGGGAACTGGAGGTGACCAGGCAGTGAGCTGGGCAGCTGCTCCCACCCCCGTCTTGGTACTTCACCCCGTGTGAGTTGAAGTCACATGTAGTAGTTTTTGCTCTCAGTGGGACAGTAGCTTTGGGTTTGTGTTGCTCATGAGCAAAATAAAGGGGAGGCACCTGTGACAGACATTCCTTGAAGTCTGGCCAACAGGCACATAAAATGCTCAGTAGTGAATGAAGGGTGCAGTGGCTACATACTCACCACATATTTGAGGTGAGAGTATTTGCAGAAATAGGGATCTGGGGGAGCAGCAGCCCCAGGACTCCCCCCACCCCTGCCTACCATGTTGTGGTGCCATCCTCACCTGCTGGGGAGTCATTGGTCAGGTTCTCGTCATCCGAGTCAGCAAAAACCTCAGCCAGCTCCTGGTCGGACATGTCGGTCAGTTCGGTGAGGTCCAGGAGGTCAAAGTGGACCTCCAGAGAAGAGACGCTGCTCAGGGGCTCTGGAGGCACAGGGAGCACTGTCACCCATAGTCCCTCCCCGTGAGGCCCTCACAGCCCTGAGGGGCCTGGGAAAGTGCACTGCCTCTTCCATGAGGCCTACGCACTCGTCAGAGCTTTTGGGAGAGCCCAGCACAGTCAGGCTAAGCCTGGGACAGACTTGGTTCCAGAAGGTCTCAGCCCTCGAGGCTGGAAAGCCTTCTGGGGTCTTTGTCCCAGAGATGGTGCCACTGAGCCTCAAGGAGCCACGGCAGCAAAAGCTTGGCTTGGCACTGGATGCAGACCCCATTTCCGTGCTGTCTTCTGCCCTCCACACCCCAGGCTGAGAGGAGCGCAGGGTCCCACAGAGTGCGTTGTGCAGGCTGGCGATACTTACGCCTCCTCTCTGTGACCTGCAGGAGCCCTGGTGCTGGTATTGGGATGCCGCCCTCCTCCTCGGTCACAGGTGTGTGGCAGCTGTCTCCCATCTCATGGCCTGGGACATCCAGGGCGGCCCGGGGCACCTCGACCTCTTTAACAGTCTCTGTGACCAAACATGCATTGTCAGCTGTAGACATGCTGGGATTCCCGCACCCCACCCAGGAAGCAGCCAGAGAGCTTGGTAGAACAGGTGACCTGTGGCTCTGGGCCGTAAGCGTGGGTGGCCAGCGGCGGGGCGTCAGACCGGGGCAGGGAGGCTCCTCTGTGGAGGCTGCCCCTCCCCTCAGGCCCCAGCCTCCTTCCTGTGGGTGAGGAAGGGAGAGGTCCAGACTTAGCACTAGACGCCATGCAGCTCAGGGTGTGGGAATGCTACGATGGTCCTTCAGCCAGAGCCTCCACTGTCCTGTTTCTAACTTTGGGTCTGGCCCAGGACCCAAAGAAGGTCACGCCTGCCTCTCTGTGGACTCTCCTATTAGAAACGCGTGCTGCTGTGTTTGAATTCAAGATCCCACATTCTCAGGCTGTAAAGCAGACAGAAGTGGCAGTCTTTCCATTCTGATTGCTCTCTGCCGACCCCACCTCACATCTGAGCAAATGTTTTCCAGCATTCCTCTGTGACTTCAAAAATGCAACTGCCTATTTTTTATATTTAGCAACTTTTCTGTGGCGTGAGAGCGGGAGGCTCCTGAGGGACCTGCCTGGGAGGAGGCCGTACCGCCTCGGCACCAGCCACACCTGGTTCAGTCGTTCTGGAGTGTGAAGTCCATCCCTGCCCACACCTGACAGCTCCTGCAGGCGCTCCAGGCCCAGCGTGGCTGCCCCTCACCCCCTCACAGCCACTGTCGTCCCAGCAGCCGCCTCTGCCTGGCGCCCTGTTAGTCTAGACTGAGCGTGGCTGCCCTCACCCCATCACAGCTGCTGTCGTCCCAGCAGCCGCCTCTCTCCAGCCCTGTTAGAGGCAGACAAACCCCCTGGTGCACTTTCCTCCTGACCCAGGGAAGCGTCGAGGTGGCCACCTTCCCTCCCCTTCCCTGGTCCCCACTGTGGCCCCCAGGCCCCTTCCCAGATACCTCGCTTCCCTCAGCTGGGCCCTGCGCAAGAGGGGCCGCTGTACCCTTATGCACCCTAGAGTGAGTAGCCTCGGCATGCGCTCACAGGAGTGACTTCCCTCCCGGCTCACGTCAGCATTGCCTCCCTGTGGCTGCCGGAGGCCCCTTGTGGGTATTTCTGGCAGTCCTGAGTGTTAACACCAGGAGCTGCTGGGTGTGAACAAGCAAGCAGCAGCCTGAGCCAGGGCTCTCAGCACTGACAGCTGCCTGCCAGTGGCCGGCCTGCCCCCTGGTGACACTGGGCAGCGGCCTGGGAACCGCCAGGGGGGACCCGTGGTCTGTAGTGAGTTCCCGGGTGGTAAGGAAATGGAGGCACAGCTGCAGAGCTGGCTGAATGAGGACCACCTGCTCCATGCCTCCTGTCCCTGGGGCCCAGTGCTGTGTCATTGCGTGGTCCCGTCTCAGGCATGAGGGCTGGCCAGGCTGGACGGGCATGGAGGATCCAATTTCTGGCTCTCCGCCGGCGTCTGGAATGTGGTTTCTTAGCATCCTCGAAAGGTAAAATTACACCACCACCCCCAGCTCAGCAAGGACACCTCCTGTGCAGAGGGCAAAGGGGTGGGATGGGGACCAGGGGCCTTCCCTCACCAGGCAGCAGGGGGACAAATGCCTGAATCGCTTGCCCAGAAGGTCCCAGGTTCCCCTCCTTGAGGGTGCAGGTGGGTGACTTGGGTCTCGCAGGCCTGTGCCATTACTGCAGTTCAAAAATGCTTCCACACATCTCAGAGCTAAGCCTGGGTCCATGGCTGGTGTGACCCTGGCCGAGCTGGCAGACTCAGGAAGGTGCTGCTGTTGGCCTGGAGTGGCCACACGGGATGGGAGCAGAGCAGAGGTTGGAGCAGGCACTGCCCTCTGAGGCATGGCCAGCCCAGACCTGAGAGGGGAGAAGTAGGGAAACAGGTGCCAAACTTGCTGGCAGTTCCTGCCTTGGAGGAGGCCAGAGACACTGCTTGCCCAGGCTTACAGGCCCAGCACATGCCCCTTTCTCTGAGCAGGAGGACCCTGGCTGGCCCTTGGTCCTCGTCTCCACCTCTGATCCCCTTTGTCTGAGGGACCCCCCCCCCCCACTCCTGACAGCCTCCAAAATCGAGGCGACCTGGGTGGAAGCAGTTCTTCGGGGAGCTGCCTCTGTGGAAGCTGAGCTCCCCCGGGCTGACAAAAACGAGTATTTTACTTTGTGTATCCCCAGTCTCAGTCAGCCAGCTGCCTCCTCACAACCAGATAGGACGCTTGAGTAGTCTTCAGAGGGGAGGAAAAGGAGTCCCACGGGGCCGGTGCTGTGGCGTAGCGGGCTAAGCTGCTGCCTGCAGTGCTGGCATCCCATGTGGGTGCCGGTTTGAATCCCGGCTGCTCTACTTCCAATCTGGCTCTCTGCTATGGCCTGGGAAGGCAGTGGAAGATGGCCCAAGTCCTTGGGCCTGCACCCACGTGGGAGCCCAGAAGAAGCTCCTGGCTTCGGATCGGCGCAGCTCCAGCCGTTGTGGCCAACTGGGGAGTGAACCAGTGGATGGAAGACCTCTCTCTCTTTCTTTGTCTCTCCTCTCTCTGCAACTCTTTCAAATAAATAAATAAATCTTGAAGAGAAAAGAAAAGGAGTCTCGAGTCGCACCTCTCCCAGGAGCACAGCACAGGGGGCTGGCTAGGGATTGGAATCCAGGCTGTCACCTGCCACCTGCAGGCCCCTGACCTGGCTCGTGGCATGAGTCTGGGAGGCAGAGGGAGAAGAAATCCAGAAATCCCCTAACTGGTTTAAAGAAGGCAGGCCAGAGGTGGGGTCTCCACTAAACAACCTCATTCATCCCGCCAACAGAGACTTGCAAGTGCTCAGGCTCTGGGATAGGGCACATACGTGATGTGGGAGCGTTGGGGTCTGCTCTCCCACCCTGGGAAGCTGTCAGGGAGGACCTGAGACTGAGGAGGAGTGGTGTGCATAACCGTCCTGAGGGGGCAGTGGGGGCCCGGCAAACAGCAAGGGCTGGTGATGGCAGGAGAGAAGATGGGCAGGGGTGTGCGCAGTTCCCCGGGGCTGTGTCAGGACTGTGACTTCTGCCCTGAGGGAGCCGTGTGGAAAAGCATTTATGCGTGTTTATGGTGAGGCAAGTGAGGACAGGGTCTGAGTGGGAGGGGAGAAGTCTAGGTACTGCCCCTACCTTCCTCACACATGCTGGTCTCCTGCTGTGGGTGCAGAGATGGGGGCCGAGCAGGACCCCACACAGCTCCGTCACTGTCTTGCAGTGGGGAGGGGCGCTTGGCACACCAGCGACCTTCCTCTGCACCCTGGATCCCTGGGGCCCTGCCGAAGCCCTGTGAGGCAGAGCCTTTCACATTTCCACGCAAAACAGTAAACGGTGCCCCAAGTTGATGGAGGTTGGTGCCCCTGAGCTCCTGAAGCCAGCAGGTGTCTAGTGTTGATGATTTCCCATCTCCCTGTGGCAGTGATCTGGTCTTTATTCTGTAAAGCCCTGGCCAGTGTCAGGCTGTAGGGAGAAGGAAAACATAGATGGTGCTGCTTTTGCCCTCAGGAACATTAATCTTTTGGCTGAAAGAATGTGGAAACAGGAGATTGAATGCCAGGCCTGAGTCCCTGGGAAGGGCATGTAAGGTGGTGCAGCCACTGTGTAGAAAGCGAGTGGACCGGGGCCGGCACTGTGGCCCACTCTTAATCTTCTGCCTGCGGTGCCGGCATCCCATATGGGCGCAGGGTTCTAGTCCTGGTTGCTCTTCTTCCAGTCCAGCTCTCTGCTGTAGCCCGGGAAGGCAGTGGAGGATGGCCCGAGTGCTTGGGCCCCTGCACCCGCATAGGAGACCAGGAAGAAGCATCTGGCTCCTGGCTTCAGATCGGTGTAGCTCTGGCCATGGCGGCCATTTGGGGGGTGAACCAACGGAAGGCAGGAAGACCTTTCTCTCTGTCTCTCTCTCTCACTAACTCTGTCCAAAAAAGAAAGAAAAAAAGGCGAGTAGACCTGGAGTTAGCGTGTGACCCAGCAGTTCCCTAAGCATCCACATGAGGATGCCAAGCAGCCCAGCGTGGCACTGGGACCAGTGGGCCAACACAAGCTGGTTTAACTACACAGCAGGCGGTGACAACACGAAAGGAATAAAGTACTGACATGTGTGACAACATGCATGGGCCTTGAAGACAGCATGGTGGGTGCAGTCAGTCACAAAAGACCACGGTGCTGTGTAATTTCATTCCACAGGAAGTCCCAAGTAGGCAGGTCCACACTAGAGTACTGATTGCCAAGTTCTGTGGGGTGGGGGTGATCAGCATGTACAGGCTTTTTGGAGGGTAGTGGAAAATACTCTAGAAATGTGGCGATGACTGCACACCGTTGTAAACACAGTAAAACGTCTGCATTGTCTGATTTGCAAGGGTGAATGTAATGAGACATGAATTAGATCTCAGCTAAAAAACAAGTCGCGTGGAAGCAAAGGATGACTGTGGCTTGAGCTGATGGGAAAAGCCAGAGGGAGGATGTGCTGCGTGCCAGGTAGCAGGCTCAGCCCCAGGGAAGGCTGGGATTAGGTATGAGAGGTGTGCAGTTCTAGCTCCCATGCTGGGGCCTGGAACACAGTAGGTGCACAGTGAGTGTGGAATGGATCATTCCCAGGCCCCACAAGAGGCTGCACTGAGAACCGTCCAGTCCGCTTACACCTATGGACACGCTCTGGTAGGAGGACGAAACAGGATCCTCACTGCTAAGAGCTGCTGCTCTCCTAGGGTGTCGCAGCAGGCTTGTAGGGGCGGGGGTGCGGCACCCTGGCTCCATCGTAGCGTGGAGGTGTCTCCCCGGACAAGGCGGAGATAAGGAAGTGTCTGATGCCACAAGCAGGTCCCCGGCATGGAGTCCCAGCACGGTCCTGGCTTCCAGCCCAGCACAACCCTTATTGGGCACCCAGGCCCCTGCAGGGGTGCTGCCTCTCTGGTCTCTGGGTGGAGACAGGAGTTGGGACCCCACAGTCCTGCCCCTCCAGGCTCCCCCGGGGCTGACTGCTGATACCTTGTGCTTTGCCGGTGACCTATTTTCTAGCACATTCGTGACTGGAAAAGTTGGCCCGAATCTCAGGTTCCCTGCTGTACTGTCGGCCCTGCCTGAGCTGAGGGAGGCACTCCGCACAGACCACCGCATGAACCAACAAATGAACTAATGAACTGAGTGCACAAAGGCCAAGTGGCTACTGGGAGGGAGAGATGGTCATGGCGGGGGGGACACTGCACTCCAGTTCCCCAGTACTCTAGACCTCGACCTTGAAGTCAGGTCCTCCGTCCTGCACACTAAGGGTGCTGGGATACCTCCCGAGGGCAGGGCCAGGGACGTCGCCCCGCCTTATCCCAAGGCACAAGAGAGCATGTGTCAGTACACTTTGATATTAGGAAATTATTGTTCCCCTCTGTAACTCTGCCTCTCAAATAAATAAGTCTAAGAAAGGGGGGAGGGGTCCAGTGGAGCCGGTGCTGTGGCCTAGTAGGTTAAGCCTCTGTCTGCAGCGCCAGCATCCCATATGGGCGTCGGTTGGATACCCGGCTGCTCTACTTCCAATCCAGCTGCCTGCTAGCGTGCATGGGAAAGCAATGGAAGATGGCCCAAGTCTTTGGACTCCTGCACCCAGATGAAGCTCCTGGCTTCAGACTGGCCCAGCTCCAGCTGTTGGGCCACTTGGGCAGTGAGCCAGCGGATGGAAGACCTCTCTGTTTCTCCTCTCTCTGTAACTCTGCCTGTCAAATAAATTAAATCTTTAAAAATATTATTTATCAATTCAGGTGCAAAAATAACATTTTAATGATGCTTTTTTAGACAGTCTCTGAGTTTAGAGCTACCAAAGGGAAGTTGGTGGCAGTCTGGTTGCACAGCCCTGGACATGGGTCTGCGGGCTGGATGTGGCACAGGGGGCCTTAGCACACTGTTCTCTCTGCTTTGCCCGTGCTCCTTACTCTCAAAAATAGTTTTCAAAAGCAGGTGAGAACTCAGATAATGAACGTCATGTTGCCAATATGAGATCCCACAAAGTGGAAATCCCCAGCCCTCATGCAAACCAGAAAGCATGGCCAGGGGAAGTGAGGTCGTGAGCCCTCGAAGGATGGGGTCCTGCTGTCTCTTGCCGTGTCCCCAACCGCAGGTGTGGGACTGACACCCTGGAAAGACATTTGCTTTCCCAGAGTGAATCAGGTATCTGAGGTCCCAGCCGGTAAAAGATGCAGAAACTCAACGTGCTGCCTCTGCCCTAAGTGGCTGGAAGTGCTTTCTTTCCCCAGAGGAGGAGAGAAAGGCCATTCACTTCTTTCCCAAAATGCCTTACCTCGTTAATCTCACATGGGCTCCCACAGTCCTGCAGGGGAAGGGGTGCCGTCTCCACTGACAGCTGTGGGAACACAGGCCCCTCGGGGTCCGTTGCTTGCCATGCCTCACAGCTGAGAAAGGGCTCTGAGCTCCCTAAGCCCTTGGTCTCCAAACCTGCCCCCTTCCCATCCCTACAAGCCTGCTGCGTGGCAAGATCCAGGGCCTGGGACTGAAAACCCAGATCCACTGGCTGCGGCTGTGTCTGCTGGCGCTTGGGGGGTGTGACAAGGGCTCCACCATCCCCAAGTGGCAGGTGGGCCAACTGCTTGCAGACAACTCGTGGGGTGCTGTCTTTGGGCTCGGGTGAAAGCTGCAGGGGGCCAGTAGACTAGCTGGCTGGCCTATCCTCTAGACACCTGCTGGGTCCCTGGGGTGGGTCCTCCAGGAAACCCAGGAAGTGTCCCGCCTGGCCAGGCAGGTGTGTGGGAGTCTACAGTTCACCCAAGTTCCTAGGCCGGTGGACCCCCAAAATATTTCTGGAGAGGCTTGTGGGAGGAAGGGGGATTTCCGAGGGTTATCCGCCCACTGTCAGCCACCACTCTGCTTGTGGGCAGATTCCAAGTGGGGGGACCAGTGGTTGCAGCTCAGCCCTCAAGGGTCTGTGAGAGGGGGGCACTCACGCACCCCTGCAGCCTCCCGCAAGCCACGCCACAGGCACACCCCATCTAAGCCCCACGCCCCTTGCGGCCTCCCGGTGCTGGCCTGCCCGGAGTCGCGGCTGGAGCGAACAAAGCGGTCGCGCGAGAAAGCCGGCAGCGTCACCCCCTTCTCGCCTACTGGGACCCCAAAGTCCAGCCTCGGCACGCCCCTCCCCCGCCCTCTGGGTTCCTGGCTCTGCCGGGAGGGAATTCAGGGCGAAACTCTTAAGCCCCGCACCCAGGAATGCACCAGGGACCGGTTCCCCGGCCCAGAGCACCGAAGACAAGGGGGCGGGGACGCGGTGTGTGCGCCCCCCGGCCCCGCGCGAGGGCCATCTCCAGGAGGTGCTTCCGGCTGCCCAGCTGGCCGGCCGGGCTCTCTCCTCCGCCCCCCAGCTCCGGGACAGGCTCCGCGGGGAACGGAAGCTGCCGGAGGATCTTGGGGTTCCCGGGTGCGGCCGGCTGCGGCTGGCTCCCGGGAAGGGGCGGCTTGGGGGTCTTGGGGTTGGGTTCGCACTTACCTCCGGGACCAGCGCCCTCCGGAGGCTCCATGTGGCCTGCAGGGTCCGGGACGGGCGCGGGCGGCGGCGGCGGCGGCGGTGGCGGCGTCACCCGGCCCGGGCGCCCCAACAGCTGCTGCGGCGACTCGGCCCGGGCTCCGGGCGCAGAGCATCGGGGCAATAGCCCCGGGGCCGCGGCGGCGGGGAGGAGCCCGCGGGGCGGGGCGCGCAGCTGCTCCGGGGCGCGGGTCCCCTCCCCATCGCCCCCCCAGCCGCGCTGGACAGGTGCGGCCCCGCCCCGCCCCGCGCGCGCCCCCTGTCGGCCCCGCGTCTCCTGCGGACCTCGGCTCGCCCCCAACCCCACCCGAACCAGGCTGTGGCCTCCCCAGCCCAGCCGGACGCCGCGGGCTCCTGCGTTCCCGTTCGGCTGACGGCCCTTTGCTCGCCACTGGGTGTTTGCAGGGGCGCCGACGGGGGGACGGGGCCTGGCGGGGCTCGAGGCGGAAGCCGCACAAAGCGGGTGCAGAGCGGCGCCGCCGCGCCAAGCCGGGTAAGCCCGGGGCTGCGCTCGGCTCGCGGGGGAGGCCGGGTAGGAGCGAGAGCCGAGGGCTGCAGGGGCAGGGGCTGGGGGAGGGCAGGGAGGGCGCCCTGTGAAAGGAGGGCGGGGCCTGGGCGAGCCAGCGCGCCGGGATGGGTCCAGTCGAGTGCCATTTCCAAACGTGACCCTGGAGGTGGGCCGCGCTCTGAAGCGCTCACAGTGCGCACCAGGCTTTGTGCCAATCTCTCGGCCACCGTCACTCCATCACCTCCCCCGGGCTCTCGGCCACCTCACCCCCTCGCCTCCCTGTGCCCTCGGCCACCTCACCCCCTCACCTCCCCAAGTGATCCTTGCCCACCTCACCCCCTCGCCTCCCCAAGTGATCCTTGCCCACCTCACCCCCTCGCCTCCCCAAGTGATCCTTGCCCACCTCACCCCCTCGCCTCCCCCGTGCCCTCGGCCACCTCACCCCCTCGCCTCCCCCGTGCCCTCGGCCACCTCACCCCCTCACCTCCCCAAGTGATCCTTGCCCACCTCACCCCCTCACCTCCCCAAGTGATCCTTGCCCACCTCACCCCCTCACCTCCCCAAGTGATCCTTGCCCACCTCACCCCCTCACCTCCCCAAGTGATCCTTGCCCACCTCACCCCCTCGCCTCCCCCTGTGGCCGTCCAGATCAAGAAGCCGCACATGGACCGGGGTAGGCTGCCCACGGCCGCACAGCCGGGCACTGGACTCGGAAGCTTGGGCCCTGCGTATCTCTGCACTTTGACAAAGCCACAGAGGAGCCTCAGGGAGGAAGAGTTTGTTCCCGGTGGAAATGGCCGGCAGCGGGGTCCAGGGTGTGGACTTCAATGCAGGCAGCTTGTGGAGGGCACAGGCGTCATGAACTTCATCCCCCCTTGTGGCGCCAGGGCCCTGGCTGCACCGCTGGCAGCCAACCCTCAGCAGCCCACGGGCCTTGAGCCTGAGAGTGGCTTTTCACTCTGTTTTCCTTTGGTTTACAAGACCAAGAAAAACACGATTGTGGGTTAAAGCCCTCTGAAATGACTTTGTGACCCCCTGGGACGCGCGGAGGGATGCCCTGAGGGTCCTGTCTCAGGGAAGCAGCTGAGCAGCAGGACCGGTGGTGGGACGTAGCGGCCCAGCAGCTGCCCCGGAGGCCACGGAGGAGTTTGTCTTGCATGGGGACGCTCCTGCTGCAGCTGTCAGGGCAGCGTGTGGCAGAGGTGGTGCTGTCTGACTCTCAGGTCACGAGGAGTCAGCTGCTGCAGCACCCAGACCTCACGGGCCACACAAGAGGCCACCCGGCTGTGTTCCGGCTGGCAGGGCCCTGAGGACTCAGCCTCGCTGCCTGCAGGTGGTCCCAGACCCCGCCACTGAGCCGTCCTCAGGAGCGGTGTGGAGTGCTGAGTCATGGCCCGGGTGCAGACTTGTGGAGCAGAACACATGCAGGCGTGGTCTTTGGGCTGCTTGTCACGCAGCTATGGTAACGGTGACGCTGATCACTTGAGAATGACTCCCATGAGACACGCGGACAGACGAGACCGAGGGGTCTTATCAGAGGTTTCCCAGGTGGTAACCAGCAGGCCAGGCTGTCTGGCCTCAGAAGCCATTTCACAAGATCATTTCCAAACCCTGAAGTGGAGAGAACTGCACAACCGACTCAT